TTCTTGAGCTTTCTCTGTGCCAATATCTGTCCTTAGTATGACAACTGTCACCAAACCCCTTTTATCTTCTGAAATGATAACCATCATCGAGCCTATTTGTTCTCTTAGAACGACAACCGTTATCGAGACCATTTGTTCTCTAAGGCGACAACCGTCATCGAACTTTTCTTTATTTGTCACATGTCCTTTGGGATGGTAACCGTTATCGAGCTTTTCTCCGTTTGACACCTGTTCTTCGGGACGGTAACCGTCATCGAGCTTTTCTCCGTTTGACACCTGTCTTTCGGGATGATAACCGTCATCGAGCTTTCCTCCATTTGACACCTGTCCTCTAGGATGGTAACCATCATCGAGTTTTTCTCCGTCTGACACCTGTCTTTCGATATGGTAACCGTCATCGAGCTTTTCTCCGTTTGACACCTGTCCTCTAGGATGGTAACCATCATTGGGCTTTTCTACAACTGACACCTGTCCTCCGGAAATAGGGACCTTCGTCGAGCTTTTCTGACTTGACACCTATTCTCTGGGATGGTAACCATCATCGAGCTTTTCTACATCTGACACCTGTCCTCCGGAAATAGGGACCTTCGTCGAGCTTTTCTGACTTGACACCCATCATCCTTTTTATCGATTTCCTCGATGAAAGATACTTTTGGCACTTTTAGTCCAGTTTTTTCCTGGTTTGACACCTGCTCTTCTGAAGCAAAGGCCTTCGTCGAATCCTTCCTAGCTTGGCATTCATTCTTCTCCTTGTCGACGTCCTCGATAAAAATACCTTCGGCACTTTTGGTCCCCATTCATCTGAATTTCAAATTTCCCGCTTATGACTACCAGTACTTACCAGCTGTCTTACACGAATCATCTTAGTACGGCGCGATGTCATTTCTTGTCGTTTTATTCATCTATCCTAAGCGTCGACAACCCCGAATTAATTTCAGGTGTCAACAACTATTTAACTTTAAAGAGAATAAGCACCCAATCGGTCCTAAACCTATCGTATGGATGCCGTTCGGTCTTAAAATTTTCAATTTTGCCAACGTAGTTCTAAATCTTCGTACGAAACTTTAATGTAGCCCTTCCGGCCAATGTCTACCGGAAATTGCTAACGTGACGTCCGGTCATCGCTCGTCGTAATCCAAAATGCAATTGTCTAATTTAGAATTTTGTCCTCAAAATCCAATACTCCAACCCTAATATTCCTTTCCTAGCTTGCGTCCTAAGAGAAGAAGGATTCAAACTTACACAAAGAGAACGAAATGCAATGAAGGCAAATCAACAACCATGTCTTTAGAATACCCACACTCCTGTCTAAATGGCCAAAGAGGCACGTCCTTTTGAAGAGACGCAACCTTTCGTCGAATAAGAGCAGCAATGAATAAATAGATAAGACTCATCCTTCAATTGTATTTAGTTATAGCTATTTACGAATTCATTTCTAATTCATAGAATACCCATTCGATTTGGTCATGTCAAAGACTCTAAGGTCTCGTTTGGATCCTTACGCAAGGAGGATGAGTGAGGATGCAAGCGTAGTAGCTCCCGTAGATATAGGCGAGGCCTTTTGCCTTTTAGCTAATCTCGAATGTTGTTACCCAATTCACTATTCCCACGGTCGGGGCTTTACATCAATTGGAAAACCAGGTGTCACTAATACTGCTTGTTCTACCGTGCTCCTTTTTGGAAAAGAAAAAACAAACGCTTGTCTCGCCCGAGAGGTGGGAAGAGTCAGGAATAGAGTGGCGAACGGGTGCCTAAGGCGTGGGACTCCACCAAGGAACCTTGGTCGGGATTATCTTGAGTTGTTCGGATTGACTGATGAATTCGATTTGGAGAGATGCCACGAGTTCTCGACTGTTCAGGGTCGGTTCTGGGCTCACCCCCTTAAAGGTCCTCACGCATTCTGGGAACAATTAGAGTTGAAGTTGCCCGGCAAAGCTATAGAAATTGATGCCATTTCAATTTCTGAACACGTAAATTACTCCTACGAGCATACAACTTTTTGCTCAAACCACGCCATGATTTTTCCTTCACCGCTTTGCTGGCATCCGGGTTAGATACGGCCACCATTTTATTTTATAGGGATAAGTATATCGGAAGTCCTAAAACTTGTCACGAAAATGCAATTTAGTCCTAAAACTTTCAAAAAGTGCACTCAAATCTTAAAACTTGTCAACTTGGTCCAATCAAGTCCTTCCGCGGATTGTACTTTTCGAAAGTTTTAGGATTCGATTGCATTTTCATGACAAGTTTTAGGACTTAATTGTATTTTCATGATAAGTTTTAGGACTTTCAGTATATTTATCCCTATTTTGCATATGTGATGTTTCCGATCAATTCCATTACTATGGTACTTTCATATTGGGTGAGTCGCACCACCGCCTCTCTTTAACTATTTATGAGTCTATGATGATAAACTAATAAAAAGAAACAGGAAGCTGACAACTTGATGACAGTACAAAGGGCCCTCAGGATGCCAATTCTTCAGACAAGGCATGGTCCATGGACGTGTCATGTACAATCTTTTGAGTAATAACCATTAGATTGAAGAGCTTAATAAGAAAAGCGCTCGTCTCGCGCGCGTGCACGCTCACAATCTGCGACATTTTAACATATGCATGGTTGTATCCTCGCACGCCGGAGCCTTGAATTTGCTGTAAAGCTTGAGTGAGTATAGGAATATTATCCAGGGAGAAGCAAGGACAGCAACTCGCACCCATCATGCAGAAACAGCTAAGGCGGTCAAAAAGAGATGACTGGAAAGGTTTAACTCCTCTTAGACAAATGAACCAGAAGCAAAGCAAGTGAGAGAGAGAGAGAGAGAGAGAGAGAGCAGTTCAGCTTATCTTAAGCTGGGTTGGTTTGCCACATGCAGGCCACCTTTATTTAACCTAATTTCAAAAGATCCTGAAAAAATTTTGTTGTTTGGTCAGAAAAGATCCTGAATTTGAGGCAGTAAGTTTCTTGCTCATTTCTTTAACTTTGGTGCCCAAAGGAAAAAAAGTCAGAGGTTCACTACGCTGAACAGAAGTTGCATTTCCAATGGGAAAATGGCAAGAATTCATTACAACCTTTCTTTACAAATTCCCAGAAAACTGATGATGATGAAAAGTCAGATTAAAAAAAGGGTGAGCCTTCTTCATCACCCAACAGCAACCCCATGTGCCCAGATGGGGCCATGTGATACTACTTTTTTCTTTACTCATAAACCGAAGAATCTCAAGAACTCCAAATCACATAAAATAATATCCAACCCAGGAAAAATTATCAGAAGATTAGATGACCCTTTTGTTCATACTGCCAATTAATGAGGTCCAAGTTGTGCAGCTGATTGCAGCTTACGTCTCAAACTATTACTTTTCATTTCTTGGTTTTTTCCCTTCTTCTTGCTTTTCGTTTCCTTTTGGCTAGAGGAAGACAAAAGGTAGCATATGACACTGGTTTTGCTTTAAAGTGAATATAAAGCTTGGACTCTGCAATGTTGCAAATGCTGCCTCTCATTTTGTTGAGTCAGGGCATCTATCTAAGAATATAAGCGACCAAAAAGAGTCCCTCATCCACTGAAACTTTAGTGGATTCCTCATACTTTGCTATGCTGATGTTTCTTTCAATACGTTTTCCAGCATCTGTTGACATGGATTTCAGTTGGAGTGCCTTTAACTATCAACTGTCACCGTTCCATGCGAAAAGGAGGAGGAGGAAGAATCTGGCAATTCAATGGCTGACAAAATCCTTGCTTTTCTTTTATCTTTATCCCCCTTTCGGTTGAACTTGAATAGCCCAATGCCTTCCCAACCTCTCAATTATTCACTGACATTGAATAGTATCGGCTTGTTGGCTACATGAATTCATTATGATCGTATTAATTATTGACGGCCGCCCTATGGAACCTAACGAAGCACGCTCTGGAAAAGGCCAGACCTTGAGAAACTTTTTAAATTTGGTTTGGGACTGCAATAAGTTGAGGCTATTTGGGTTTCAGCTCAAGGGTTAGCTAACTGCCCCCACCAACTGTTTACTTGCTCGCAATTGAATGCCATTTTCTCCATGAAGAAGCCTTTTAGCTACTTGAATGTATGCCCACATTCATCTGCAACCTATTCCCCCACTAGGGCTATTTTATAACTTTTCTATTGTAGCACATGTCGTAGCGATATCCGAGGGAAGCTATCTTAGATCGACTAAATTAGATATGATCTAAGTGTATTTGTGTTCTCATAAATGTTGTGGCTATAGATTTCACATAATGTAACTGCTAAAAGAGTTTCCATGCACCCCATAAAGCCTATCCATTTATGTTCGTTGACAATCCTGCAAAACGTATAGTATATTAGCTCGCTTACCGGTCCATATCTTTCTTTTCTCATTTCCTTTTCATTAGCCTAAGATTGCTCTTGGCTGTCCCATACATTGAAAGGTATTAAGGCATAAAACACCAACAATAAAAAGCGTAAGTCCATCTAAGTCAATCACGTACCTTTTAATCCTCCCCTTGTTTTCAATGCATTGCAATGCCCCAGTGCAACTACTGAAGCCATCAAGCTTAGTGGAAACAGAGATTATGCTCATGCAATTAAGGTGATTTTGGGCAAGTTGAGCAAGTACAAGCTCCAATTAAATGCACTTGGGGGTATCTTTAACACCACCCCTGGAATCAAATTCAATTCCTTCTCACCCAAATTGCCACCTCTCTGACCGGTCTTCAACTGAACCAATGGGCTCTTCCCAATGTGCCTTGGTCCTCACAAACTCAAAAGGCCAAAAAGTCCACTCAGAGGGATCACAAATCTAGGCAGAATATGGGGAATTCCAAAAAAGAAAGTAGAAAAATTGGAGTCCTCCCCATTCCGTGTCCACAAACACTTGTGTTAATTTTTTTGCAGTTTTTTCTGTTTCTGTTAGTAGTTTAGACACTGTTCCTCCATATTTCCATCCCTTTATTTTATTCCCCACCACTTCCTATCCCCTTCCAGTTCTATATAAACAATCGACTTGTCCCTCTTCCTCCTCACTTCTCTCCCTGGCCTTTCACCTAAAGTTCCAAGCTGCTCTCTCTCTCTCTCTCTCTCTCTCTCTCATCTTGGGCTGAAACTTCTCGCTGCAAGCCAAAAATGGGTTCTCTTGGATTCACCATTGTGGCCTTCCTCGCATTGCTGAAGACAGTCCAAAGTGATGGGAGTGCATGGACCAGTGCCCATGCCACTTTCTATGGAGGCGGTGATGCTTCTGGAACAATGGGTGAGTTAGTAGTGACATAAAACAGCAATCCCCTCTCTTGCATTCCCATAAATTCTGCACTTACTTTCCTGTCACTCACATATTTATCCCCTGGCGGGTTCGTGAGAAATCATCGCCTAGTCTCGTCCCCCTCAGACCCCGCGAATCTCAAATCTAGAAACAGTAATATCCACGCTTACATGTTTTCTCAGAGTGCGATAGACAGACAAATTACATGTTCTACAACATTTTTTTTTCTGGTTTCTGAGTTAACAAGTTCTTTGGATCTGTTTCAGGTGGGGCTTGTGGGTATGGGAATCTAATTAGCCAAGGATATGGCACAAACACAGCTGCCCTGAGCACCGCCCTGTTCAACAATGGGCAGAGCTGTGGAGCATGCTATGAGATCCAGTGTGTGAATGACAACCAGTGGTGCTTGCCTGGTTCCATCATCATCACTGCCACCAATTTCTGCCCTCCTAACCTTGCCCTTCCTAATGACAATGGAGGATGGTGCAATCCCCCTCTGGAGCACTTCGACCTCGCCCAGCCGGTCTTCCAACAGATTGCTCAGTACAAAGCCGGAATAGTTCCTGTTCAGTACAGAAGGTGAGCACACAGTTGAATGAGCTTAGTGTTTGTTTTTGTTAGATCATGGCACTTTCTGTTATGTTAGAAAATACTAATTGACGTCAACAAGCAAACTAACGATGTTATGTGTTCATCCAGGGTGTCTTGTGTGAGGACGGGTGGCATCAGATTCACCATCAACGGCCACTCTTACTTCAACCTTGTCCTGATAACCAACGTCGGCGGCGCCGGGGACGTGGTGGCGGTGTCAATCAAAGGCTCCAACACCGACTGGCAAACCATGTCTAGGAATTGGGGCCAGAACTGGCAGAGCAACTCGTACCTCAACGGCCAGGCCCTCTCCTTCAAGGTCACCACCAGCGACGGCCGCACCTCGATCTCCAACGAGGCGGCCCCACCCAATTGGTCCTTCGGCCAGACATTCAGCGGGTCCCAAGTCTAAACCCGACCGCCCCCCCCCCCGAAAAACCAAAACGCTAACAAAAACTAAACCCTTTTAACCCAATGAAGGGCCTAATTTTAATTTCCTTCAGTCAAACATAGGCTACTAAACATAACATGTGACATTATGTATGTGGTTGGTCATGTGGTGTTCCTGGCCCCTGCGGGTGGGCCTCTTTAGGAGTGGCCCCAAAGTCGGTTCCCCTCGCTCACGCTCTCTATTCAAATGAGCGTAGCTGTGGTGTCCTGTCGTGTCGTGTGCAACGGAGGCGATCTACACATCGTAGGAGGCCTCTTTTTATAACTTTACTTATTATACAGAAAAAAATCATTTTGGCTGAGGTGAATGAGGAATGGTCACCCGCCCTGGAAAATGCACTGTCCAATGTAATTCGAGGCTTCCCTTCTCAGTAAGAACGAGGTTGTGGAAGACTCTTTTAGCAGCTGGCTTTTCTTTTTCTTTTGCTGTTGTTTTGGAAGCTCAGGGAAGCACTGAGTTTGAGCAGTGACAGACCTTTTTGTACACGGCTAATCAAGCTGATGGTGTACCTGAAACACTTTGTAAACTACGTATCCTATGTAATTTCGTTCTTGGGTGCTTGCAGTTTAATGTTAAAAGTTCCGAAATCTTTGCTGCTGTTTTTGAGTCCGGCAGTTCGAACGAGAAATCCACGTGATCGTCTTGATCAACGCGGTGAAGATCTATTAATATACTCGGTGTATCTTCGGGGCCGAGACGCTCCGATTGCAGATGCACGTGACATCTTTGATTGAAATGCAGCTTTTGCTTTACGGTCCGGTTGGTCCGTTTCCGCGCAAGGAACTGGGAAGAGGACCGGTCATTGCCGGTTCCGAAAATTCGGAACAGAGAACCGCCCAGAACTGGTTGGGTCCGATTCCCTGGTTGGACCGGACCGGTTCTCTCGCCCTTTAGGCAACCTACTCAAAAAGCTATTTGGATCAGGTTTTCTTTACGGAATCAAACTGGAGACATATTTTATACCAATTTTTGCTGGTCGCCCTTCCTCGTGCTCACCCCTCACTCGTAAATAAAGAAGGAACTCTCGATCATTCTTTAAGCTTGAATACTCGATTGAATTAGTCCATAAACTCGAGACAAATTCTTAACAATTTCTCCTGTCACCCTTCCTCGTGCTCGCTCCACTTGTAAGTAAAAACAGGAACTCTTAATTAGATCATATCATTTTATGAGCTTGAATGCTCGATTGAATTAGTCCATGAAGAATAAGCATTCAATCATATCCTTCAAAGCACTATCTTCACATAAGCATAACTTTTAGAACGAAGAAAAAACTCTTACCCAAGAGCCAACAAGCTAAGTCACACATCAAAATTTTGCTTTGCCAAAGAAATCCAGCGGTTTAAGTGTCGTGTAGCCAAAACCTAGGCCCCGCGATCCATGCTAGCGTATCAATTCATATCGGCCCAAAACATCTTATTTCGATTCTACACGAGGAATAATTGAATTACGATGAAAACGTGTTATTTTTGTGTCAGATTCATGTCGAAACACAAAGTTAGGCGTGGCACGTCGTGTCGCGTCATATTCGGATTTTTTCTTTGTAATTCGCGTTTTACCTCCCTCATGTAAGCCGTGCAAATGGATCGCTATCTATGTTGGAGAAAGGATTTGATTCTATCCGATTTGATCTTTGATATGATTCTAATCACAGATTCAGTCAATCCTCAAGATTGGAATGTTCGGACAATAGAATAGGAAAAACATCCTCATGTATATTCTTTCCTTTTTTTTCTTTACCTTCTTGTATTATAAATACATCTTTGTACATGTACAATTACTCACTGAGAAATACAATTACAAATTTCCCCCACATATCCTCTTATTTTTCTGTCAATCTAGCATTGCCAACTCTACGAAAAGATCAACTACATCTCCGATCGATAGATCGCACAAGTAACTGCCTGATATGCTACTTATTTTCTACGATAAAATTAAGTACTTAACGAAAAAGGCATGCCCTTTTAGAATTCAGTGCATAAATTAAGTATTTTGTGAACACGCATCCAACATTCAACAATGATCTAGGAATAGATCTTCTTTGCTTTATGATATAAATCAGGTACTCAATGTCACGACACGAATGTTAGAATATCTCAAATTTTAAATTACGTCATTATCTAAAAGTTGAAGTTTTAAAATAGTTGGTAATGGTTATACGAAATTTTACATGGTATTGGACATGCTTCATTTATTATTATTTTCACGCTTAGTCTTAAGGCAAAAGTCCAGTTTATGCATCGAGAGAAAGCGTTAGAACATCTAAATACTAAAATCACGCATTCATCAAACAACTTAAATTTACAAAATAATTGGCAGTGTTCTTATAAAATTTTTGCTAGATAACAGTTGAGCATAATGTACGCACTAGATAGCCGCCAAAACCTGACCAAATCGGAACGGAAGCTACCGAAGATGTAATGCGACGAAGCCGTCAAAAACCAATCATCCTACCCGGCCGAATAAAAAGCCGACTCCTGGGGCTTCAACTTGCCGCGCTTCCGTCCTTCGCCTTGAGTCCCTTCTCCGTCCGGCCCTGCTCGAGATCTTTTGCCGTCCTCCGAGCGATCACGAAGCACAATTCTCGGGTTCGGACGTCGCTGAACGCCCATATCGTCAGGACATCCGAGACCCCCAGTTGATTTTCTGTAACGAACACTTTCCAATCGCTCGTGAGAACATATACCTTGCTGCACCAATGCTTGAACAGCATAGGATACGTCTTCCCCTTCGTATTGAACGTCTTCACCTCTATGCCTCTGCCGGGATCGTCGCCGGTCCTGAGCAACGGGAGCACAAGCTCCCGGACGTGCTCCTTCACCAGCATGAGCCAATTCTGCTGGCCCGTGATGTCGCTCGCCGTCACCCGCTTCTCGAACGACCCCCGGCATTGCCCAATAGTCAATCAGTGTGTTCACGCGGGGGACAAGCTGAGGGTCCAGATCGCACGGCTCGTGGGCTGGGGGCGGCGCGCGTGAGCTGCTTGCTCGAACGTCCTCCGACCACGCATCTTCATCGCCCCGAGGTACATGATCGCCGGTGTGCTTCAATATGGAAAGAAACAGTGATGCTTGAAGCACTTCTTTGCTTTGGTTTTGACTTCTCTCCATGTCAAGTCAACTATTTCTCTATTCGCAGCTTCCGAAGCGATCTATGTAACATATTTATACTTAGATTTTGCCCAATTGATCTTGCCTTTTTCTAAATTGAATAGGAGTCTGTCGAAATATTTCCTAAAATAATATTCGGATTGGAATATTTTTACTTCATGCTGCTTCATGTTATCCTTTGCGTAACAATGATATACTTCGGTTAGTTACATTGAGTGGGTCTTGACATTATCGGATTTTCTTCGCTGGTGTCCTATTAAGCAAAGGGTTATCGGTTTCCAGAAATCAAGCTGAACCGGCCGGAAAGGAGATTTTTCTTTTTTCTTTTTAAATTACTTGATTCGATTTATATGTCGATTTTGAAGCGAATGCTCGATTTTTCGACAAGGGAAATCAATGGCCGTAATTTAGTGACACAATTTAGATTTATCTAATCAAAGAGAGGATGAATGTTACCTTTGGACTACCGATTTGGCAATATAAAAAAAAAACAATAATACATTGAAAAGATTGTTCTGATTGATCGATGAGGAGTGGCCCCATCAAGCATCAACTAATTAGACTAAAAAAAATCACAAACATAATACATGTTTTTGTCAATTGACATGGTACGCTGAATAATGTTAGAGACTGGATAGAATATTTAAATATAAAATCACGCGTTCTTTTAATAATTTTAGCCTTTTGAATAATTGACAGTTGTCATGCAAAATCTTTCATTATATGGATCTAGAGCTCAAACTTTTGCCTAGCCAAAATAACCAAAGTCCAAATTACGCGTGACCATCTTACAATTCAAGTCTAACGCCACAAAAGAAAACACCAAAAGAAGAGATTTCCGCTGAGAAATCCACTATGAATTTGGAGAGCTTGGAGTTGCAATCACTAAATCGCTCAAGTATTCCCCAGCCTAAATTATGCGCGAAACAAAACCATACAAGTGTTGTAGAAAAGCTACTCGAACTAGAAAATCATTCAAAAGAGGAAACTTACTCAAATTAGGGAATCCATTTGGATCGGGGTTTCTTCACGAATTTAAGTTCGAGACGTATCCGCTAGTCACCCTTCCTCATGCAGATATAACCTGGACAAAGTGTGGATTGTATGGACAACGATGTCCACTGGCCTGTCCTCGTATACATGGAAACTCATCTATAATGTCATCAATGGATTCATAATTTTGCCTTTCTTCATTTTCATTATGTGTGAAATAACTGAATTACGACGAAGACGCGTTAATTCGTGTCGGTTCGTGACAACGTATGAAGTAAGATGTGACGTGTTGTGTTCGGATTTTCTCTCCGTAGTTTGTGTTTTACATCTCTCGTTCAAGTCATGCAAGCGGATCGTGTCGAGCATTGCCAGCTCTGTCAAACCCAATCTTGGATCAACTATGTCTGTGATAGACTGATCCTGAGGTGAGGAACATGTTAACACAAATCAAATATTCAGCAATTATCCCGGAGTAAAAATCAATTGATAGCGGTATCACAAGATCTTAAATTTAAATCTTTTGTTTAACAGATGAAAGTGTAAGAACGGTTGATAATGGTCCTAAGAAATATTCACAATGAAGACAATAAATTTACAGTTAGATATCCACAAAAAATACTGTAATTGCCAAAATAGGCGCCAAAACTCGACGAAGCCGGAATGGAAGCTGCTGAAGACGAATGCGACGAAGCCGGCGAGAACCAATCATCCTACCTAGCCGGATAAAAGCACCTTTCGGGGCTTTGACTCGATGCACTTCCGTCCCTCTCTTCGAGCCTCCTTGTCCGTCCGGTTCTGTCCGGGCGCGTTCGGCGTCCTAGAGATCAGGAAGCACAAACGTTCGGTCCGAACGTCGCGAAAGGCCCATATCTTGAGTACATCCGCGTCTTCCAATTGATTTTCTTCGACGAACGCCTTCCAATTGCCCATGAGGACGTATACCTTGTCGCACCAAATTTTGAACCGCAGAGGAAACGTCTTTCCCTCCGTATTAAACGCCGTCACCTCCACACCTTGCGCGGGATCGTCGTCCTCCTCGAGCAACGGGAGTATGAACTCCCGGACGTGGTCCTTCCACAGGAGGAGCCGGTTCTGTTGTTCTCTGAGGTCGCTTGACTTCAACCGCTTCTCGAACGGACCCCGGCATCGCCCGATGGAGTCGATCAGCGCGTTCACGCTCCGGACAATGGGAGGGTTGGATCTGCGCAGCTGGCGAAGCGGCGCGCCCGAACTGCTCTCTGGAACGTCCTTGGATCTCGCGGGTTCGTCACCCTCGGAGACACGATCGCCGGTGTGCTTCAATACGGAAAGAAGCAGCGATGCTTGAAGTACTTCTTTGGCTTCGTCACTTTGGCTTCGACTGCTCTCCATGTCGACTGTTTCTCTGTTCACAGATTTTGAAGCATTATATATAACATGTTACTAGCCAGGCCAGATAGAATTTGCACTTTCCTAAGGTGAATAGGAGTCCATTTGAAATATTTCCTAAAATATACTTAGCTAGAAGAGTTGCTGTTTGATATTATTAAGTTAGTCGGGTTGAGTGAGTTTGAACATTATCGGATTTTCTTCGTGAGTGTCCTATTAAGCAAAGGGTTATCGTTTTCCAAAGGTCAAGCTGAACCGGCGAAACGCGTATTTTTCTTTTAAAACCCTAAATTAGTACATTTGTGACAAACCCTCTATTAATTTACGTTAAATTTTATCGTCAAATTGCTAAGTTTGATGACACGTAACAGTTGACGAATGTACTAATTTGGGATTTGACATTATCGGATTTTCTTCATGAGCGTCCTATTAAGCAATGGGTTATCATTTATAGAGATCAAACTGAACCGGCGAAAATGGTATTTTTCTTTTTTAAAATGGTTAACACTATGAAAAATCTTAAATTGGTAAACTTGTGACAAACCCTCCGTTAATTTACGTTAAATTTTACTATCAAATTGCTGAGTTGGATGACACGTGACAGTTGACGAGCGTACCAGTTTGGGGTTTTACCCCTCTGGTTGTCACAGGTATACCAGTTTGTGATTTTTTTGTAGTATTAATCTAATTGAACGAAAATTAGTGGAAGGTAAATATGTCACAAATGTACAAGTTGGGGATTTTTGATGGTCAAAAAATTAGGTTAAGGTAAATTTGTCATAGATATACCAATTTGAGAGTTTTTTTTGTGGTACTAACCCCTTTTTAAATTGATTTATATGCCGATTTTGAAGCCAATGCTCGATTTTTCGACAGGGGAAATAAAAAGGCTATCATTTAGTGACAAAATATAGATTTTTCTTATCAAAGAAAGGATGAATGTTACCCTTTTGGATTGCTGATTTGGCAAAAAAGAAATACCATAATTACATTAGAAAGATTATTCTAATTGCTAAATTTTTATGAATGTCAGAAGGTGGATGTTTTCTAGTTAGTCAGATGAAGCGAGTCTTGACATTATCGGATTTATTTTTCCAGAAATCAAGATAAACAAAAGGAAAGGGGATTTTTTTAATTGATTTGAATTGATTTAAATGTGAATTTTGAAGCCAGTGCTTGATTTATTTTCAACGAGGGAAATAAAAAGGCTGTCATTTTTGTGACAAATTTAAATTTTTCGAGTTAAATAAAGGATGAATGTTCCTTTTTTGGCTGCTGATTTGGTTGGACTTGACATGAATTAAGAATGATTTTGGCAAAATAGCAATAATTACGTCGAGAAGATTATTCTAATTGGTACAATTGTTACGGATGCCGATGTGCCAATATGTGTGCCAACCGTGGCTCGATGTTTAGGATTCAACCCAATTGTGTATGTTTGTATACGTGAGATTATGTGTAGCCACTGTTGATAGCATTAATGCATTTTATTTACTGATATGGTCTATTATAATAAAGGGATAATGACACAAATAATTCATGAACTTTAGTTCAATATGAAATGTGATCCTTGAACTTTTTATTTGTTGAAGGCGATCTCTTAACATTTGGTCCGAACTATATGACAATGTTTAATATAGTCCATGAACTTGAATTAATGCAATGACTACATTGAACATTGTCATATAGTTCGGAGACTAAATTGAACATATACCAAAAGTTCAAGGATGACAATGAATAAATTAAAAGTTCAAAGATCATATTATATATTGGGTTAAAGTTCAAGGACCACATCGAATAAATTAAAAGTTCAAAGGACAACATTGCGTATTGAAGCAAAGTTCAATGACTATTTGTGTCATTTACCTGTTAATAAACTTTAAATTCGTGTGTTTTTAATCACATGTCGTTCAACGAACACGCGGGTATTAACAGTTTGCAACTCTTAGAGCCGGGCCGGGCCGGGCCGGGCCGAGTCGATTTGGGCTCCTCCTCTCGTTGCAAGAAAAGACTTTGGTGCTTTCCTCGTAAAAAAAAACAAGTAGCGAAACACATACGCATTGTGCGATGATTCTTTGCCCCTCTCGTCCTTCTCCTCTCTCTCTCTTTTCATTATCGACTACTTCATCGTAACTCGTATGTATTTAAGGAAATAATTTCCTTTTATTCCAACGCAATAGCACAATAAACCTCACGCACTTCCACCGGCACCGTCTTCGTCATCACCGCCGCTTACCGTCGATCGGAGCTCGGCCGTTCCTTCCCCTCCCCCTCTCTCTCGCGGCCGGAAACTACAGCTCCTGCCATGGCCGCGACGATCGAGCTGAAGGACGAGGCCGAAGGGAAGGGCGTGGCGACCTCCGATTTCTACTTCGCCCGGATCGGCGACCCGATACCGGTCGACTTCGCAAGGGACGGCGGCGCCAGGCCGTACGGCCCTGGCCGACTCCCGTCCCGGCCGCTCGCCGTCTCCGAGCGGTTCAAGCGCGTCTTCGTGGCCCACTCCCGTGGTGAGTTTGTAGACCTCGATACGTTCGTCCGATTGGCAGCCTGTGGCGGTGCGATTTGGTGCTAATCGTGCTCTGGTCTGTAGGGTTTTGCGTCGTGAGGACCGGAGATGTGATGGAGTCGGCGAAGGGGATTAACCGGGGGTGGAGAAGTCGTTCCGTGCGGCGACTGAGCGACGCGGACGTACCCATGAGGGCGGTTGGCTTGCTCTCGCTTTCTCCTGATTCTTTGACGCTTGCGGCTTCTGGTGGGGGGACTGTTTACTTCTTCTGGGTTCCTTCGCTTCTCAATAAGGTTAGTTCAGACTCAGAGGTCCCTTTTGTTAGATCACGCTATATGTTTATATGAGAAAATGGCTGAAACTTTGTGGCCGGAATTCCTTTTCCAATTACACTCCCTACATGTGGAGATCCTTGAAAAAAAGTCGACTTTTTTCTCATCATGTTGTGATTCTTTTCTGAGCATGTTCATTGAGAATTCTTGTTAGACGCTGACCGACGCCTATGTTGTTACATTCGGTTCGGATTAGGAATAGTTATAGCTGGCCCTGCGTTTTGGACATTTTCCTGTATATGCTCTTTTGGCTTTTGGGAATTGAGATATCTCTAGTTACGTTCGCTTTCGTTTTATATCTGCAAATGATTATAGGGTTCCAGTTATCCATAATAAAGGCAGAATCATGAGCCATAATGAAGTTGGTGGACGGTATCCTCCCTTAGTAATGAGCTATAGTCCTATAGACGTGGATGCTTAGTTGAGTTTTATTATCCTGGTCTAGCTGGAGCCTCGTTTTGTGGGACATAGACTAATGTTTCGTTAATAAATCTGATTTATTAGGTTGTACTTACATTGACAATTGTCAGCTTTGTGCATCTGATGCACTGCACATGTACAAAAATCCAAACCATATTTTGAAATAGGCGGTGATTGCTTGCAATTTGCATTTTTATCCCCTTATTTATCTTTATTCTCCATAGGTTTTGCATGCAAATTATTTGCTAGGTCGACTTAAAACCCAGAAATTGAAACACTTTGACATGGGGTTGGAAAGAGAAAGCTTCCTTTTATCCGTTAACATCATGTGCAGTCCTTAAAATTCTGCATTTAAAATTATATTTGATGAAATTATGTTGTCTTTGACCCTTGTTCTTCTTTCATAAAGGAGTAATACAGATACGCTTTTTGACGAGGGTTTGCTTCTAATTGAGCTCTTCAATCGTGCAGCAGCAAGACTTTTTTTTCCTGCTCATTAGATGAAGGAAGTTCTGTAAAGGACATGAAGTGGCTAAAGAAGAGACATAATTCATACATTCTTCTGACAAGTTGCGGGAACCTGTATCTTGGGAGCATTCATGGACGTTTAGAGCGTTTAATGGATAATGTTGATGCCGGTATGCTTTAAAAATCAAGAACTTCTTCACTTAGGCTCTGCTTATTATGAGTGGTAGTTTAAAACAAGTTTGTTCTGTAGAGACTTTCGTTGCTTGTCACCCTTGATTTCCACGCTGCTTCTTTGTTGCGGTATCAATTCATGCTCGAGAACATGGACTCTGTTTCGATATGTTCTTTTCTCCCCTTGAGTTTGAGAGACTCACATATATACTGCTGATTATTTGTATTTAGGAGGATAGACTGAACTATACATAATATAAAAGCTGGTGCATCCATAGAGCATTGATGAAAGTTTGAAAGTTCCACCGAATATAGCTTTTCTTATGTGGCTGATAGAGTTGACTTGAAGATTACACTTGTCTTGCTCTATTAAATTAGCATGCTGTCTTCATTTGTATGGTGTGCTTATGGGAGATTGTTTAATCGGGATGGCTATCTGATCCAAGAAAGTTGGGTGCTGAAAGTTCCATGAGTGGATCAAACGCAGTGGATCGTTTTTCATATATAATGTCTTCAAGTACATACGAAATGTACATGGAAAGAAAGAAGGAAGAACAAAAAAAACACATCAAAAGACTATAGAGTTTTAGAAACATGTCCAAAGCCGAATAGAGGAGCACCACACAGAAGTAGCCGAAGATTCAAGTACATCAGAAATGTCCATGGAAAAGAAAAAAAAAACGAAAATAATCAAGGTTGCAGTAAACACTACAATGACCTCTGGGGGAATCTTGCTGTGGCTTTCACAAAATATTCTTGTAGAGTACCTTAACCATCATTTTTTGTCTAGTTTGGTGAAGCTCTTCCCGTTTAGTGTCTGCGATGCTGCTTTCTGTTGTATTACTTATTGTTGTTTGTTTGCATTGTGATTTGGTTTGATTTCTAGGGTTTTTGTTTAATATCAATTCATGCTCAAGAAAGTGGACTCTATTTCACTGTGTCCTTTCTCCCATTGGGTTTGAGAGACCAACTTAGCTATTGCTGATTATACGATTTTGAAGGATAAATTAATTGTACTTGCTACCAATGCTGTTGCATCTGTTGAGCCTTGACTTGAAAGTACCATTGAATTGCTTTTCTTACTTATAGAGTTGACGTGAAGCTCGCGTTCAGTCTTTCTTTTAAATTAGCATGCTGTCTTCATTTATATTCTCTGTTTATGGAGAGCATTCACCTGCGATGGCTACCTGATCCAACAAATTCTGCCGCTAAAAGTTCCATAATTGGATCAAACATAGTGTGTTGTTGATCAGTGTATTTGCATACACTGTGAGGAGCTCTTGAATCTCGCTCTGTGTCTCACAAAGTATCCCTGTAAAGTACCTTAACCATTAATTATTGTCTAGTTTGGTAGTGTTCTTTCTAATTACTTTCTGCAATGCTACTTTATGCCGTATTACTTATTTGTTGCGCGATAATGCTGCTTGATTTGTGGTTCTCGTTTTATTTTAGTTTCAATTCATGCTCAAGAACATGGACTCTATTTCAATGTTTCATTTTCTCTCTTTGAATTTGAGAGACCAACTTATCTAGTGCTGATTATTAGGATTTCAGAGGATGAACTAAACTATACATACTATGAATTGACGTGATGCTTGCGCTTAGCTTTCTCTTAGCATGCTGTCTTCATTACATTGCGGGGTTCTGGTAGATCATTCAAATCTCGATGGTCATCTGATCCAAGAAATTCTCTTGCTGAAAGTTCCATAATCGGATCAAACATACAAACTTTCATCATTCTATTACCCATTCGTATTACAATGAGCTCTGGAACGAACTCTGTTCTGGCTTTCACAAAGTATGCTTATAGAGTACCTTAAACATCATGTTTTGTCTAGTTTGGTAAAGTTATTTCTGTTTAATTCTTTAATGCTGCTTTATGGTGTATTAATTATTTGTTTGGACGGTAATGCCTTAAAATGAACATAAAAAATTAGCATAGTCGTTCTCGTTATTCTTCATTCTCTGTTTACGCCTTTCTCCTTTCAGTTGACTGCAGTGCAAAAGAAGATTATATTGCTGTGGCAAGGAATGACAGCCTAAGTATTCTTTCATCCAAATTAAATGAGAAGTTCCACATGGCATTGTCACTCCAACCATGGACAGGAGAGTCTGACGAATTTAGTGTGAAAGGTAAATCGACTCTGATGTTCAAATTTAGATGTTTTGTCCGGCAATTTGCTTATAATTTGTTATCTGAAGGCATACCTTCCTATAACCCTGAGTAGAGGTTAGTTGGAAGATGATCATTTATGCTGGATCTTTCACTGAGATTAAATTTTGGATAAATAATATGGTCCTTCAGAAAAAGTTTGCTCCATATTTGCACGTGCAAGGGTTGTTTATTTTCATATATGGATTCTGCTCAGACTTGAATTCTTTCTAAGGAATAACTTTGGTCTTTAAGGTTTTTAATGCGGGTGGATTTGTGAACAGTGGATTCTCTCAAGTGGGTTCGTCCCGATTGCATCGTTCTAGGGTGCTTTCAACTTACCTCAAACGGCATGGAGGAAGGTTATCTTTTGCAAGTAATCAGGACTAGAGACGGCAACTTTTTTAATGTGGGTGAAACAATCCTTGACACAATTTTCACTATCAATTGTTTAATCTTCAAAAATATTGGGCAAATATTGTCACTATCATTGTTATCATCATCATCATCATCATCAAGCAGCTAGAGAGGTTCATGAGCAATCTCCTTTAGTAACTACAAAAGTTAATTTGTATACTCTTGTGTACTCAAAGAACAATTTACAAGTGACTTTTCTGAACTTGATTTCAGTATGATTTTTTGGTAATTGGCTTGGAATTGAAGTAGTTTTAGTCTCTACTTACTAGATCTGGTCGCACTGATCTGCCATGGTCCCTTAATTACCACATTGTCTTGTATTGTAAATTCTTGCTGTGATGGTTTCCAAATTCCTCTTGTAATTAAATTGTTTCGTGTGGAATCCTGTGACATAGTTATTTTTTCTCTTGTGCCAGTCTTAACATTTATGTTCTAACCAAAATTGTACTGTCTGAAAATGTCATTGGTGACAAAAGAGAACTTTTTGGTGCACTTGCTGTCATGGCTATCCTAAGTTTCTACAAATATCTAAACGAGTCCATGGCTGCTAGATGTTGCAACTAGGATGTGAAGGAGAGGGCATATTCCTATGTCTCGATAGTTTTCCATTTTCATAGGATGACATGCAAATGGTGGCTTGCCATTTGTTATATGTATAGCAACATATTTGAATGTGGGGATGCTGTTCCCGTTGAATGACGGCCTTAGGACTATGTTCAAAAATTTAAATTTACAATCTGATGATTTAATTAGTCATTTTGGTAATATTTATTTCTGTAGGCTTCTTCTGAGGCGATACTGCAGTCCTTTTGTGATGTTTTCCCTGGAATTGTGGATGATATTATTCCCGCAGGACGTGGGCCGCATCTGTTCTTTAACTATTTGGAACAATGGTAATGTCCTAATTTTTACTTTCCCTCCATATTTTATTTCTTTTATTTGTCATTGAGACTCTGATTGCTTGCACCTCTTATCATATCTCGTTTGAGAGATTCATATTTTTAGAATATTTCAATTTGTTTTTCTTTTGACTCGTGGCCATTTAATACGTGATTTTTTATCACTTGCATCAGGTGCAAAGCCCTGATTTTGGTCTAATTATCTTTATATTGATACTTGTTAAAATTTGGTCTTCCATCATGGAAATAACCCAATTGGCAAATTAACACGAGTTGCATGCCTGTTCACAAATTTGAACTTCTTGCTTTGGTTCTAATAGCACATTGATCTCATGAGAAAGTTAAACTGACAGATTTCCTCTTTTTTCCTACTTATATAGATATTTGACTTTTGAAAATACCGTCAGAGATTAGCTACTGCATTTTTTCCTGCTGCAGTATCCACGGAAACGATATTGCATAGCAGATAAAGGCTAACCTCTTTTCTTCTTCTCATTTCAGCAAGCTTGCAATTGCAGCTAACCGAAAAAATGTGGACCAGAATGAAGCAGTAGTTGTTGACATTGATCGAGATAACTGGCGTCCAAGAATTGAGCTTCAAGGTACATGAGGTTGTAGATGAACTTATATATAGACTTGCAAAATTTTTTAATCATTTTCATTTAATACATTGTTTGTTAGTTAATCTATGTTTACATTCATATTTCGGGAAGATTAGATACGTATTCTGTCCATTCCTCCTCATCAGGGTTCTGAAAGTACTAATGCTTTCACGAGGACAAGATAACTACATATTCTTGCACTTTTGCAATGTCCACTATTTCAAGTATGTGGTTTATATTCTTGTTGATCAGACTCGGAGTGAATGGCGTTAGCGGAGGATTCCTATGAGATGATTGGATCTATCGTTTTCCTAGGTTGCTCTGTGGTAGAGCTGTTGGTGCAGCATAGTGTATTGTAAGTCTAGCGTAAACAAAAAGATGGGCAGTGGTACATTCATCATGCAGATGACAGTCTCCTGTTGCTTTTTGGTTTCTCTTCATGCATATTAATTTTCTTATTTGCTGTAAGTACCAATCTGTACTGAGGAGATTTAAAAATTCCCTTATGGTCAGAAAATGGTGACGACAATTCAATCCTGGGGCTTTGCATTTACAAAGTATCCATGAAGGAGAAAGTCAGAATTCAACTTGGAGTTGAGGAGCAAAGGGACTTTTCGCCATTTTGCATCCTTTTTTGTCTTTCTCTTGAAGGAAACCTCATTATGTTCAATGTTGCCTGGTATTCTCCTTTGCCCTCTCCTAGTTGCTTTGTTGATTGTGTTTTACCTTATTAAATCTGTTGTCAGCATGGTAGGCCTCTTCAGCTCACTTCTGCTACAGTGCCTGATGTGTTATATCTTTGTAGTGTTGCAGAACAAACTGATTTTCCTGACGCTGGCTGGCCGGCTGACGGGGAAGAGAATATTTCTGGAGTTGAAGCCCAAGAAGAAGTAAGTTCTACTGTTTATTGAACTTGTTCAACGTGATCTCTTAACATTTGGTATATGTTCAATGTAGTTCCTCAACTATATGAAAACTTTGAATATAGTCCATAAACTTGAATTGATGGAATGATTACATTGAACATTCTCATATAGTTCGTGGACTAAATTGAACATATACCAAAAGTTCAAGGATGACATTGAACAAATTAAAAGTTCAGAAACCACATTATATATTGGGTTAAAATTCATGGACCACATCGAATAAATTAAAAGTTCAAAGGACCACATTGCACATTGAATCAAAGTTCGATGACTATTTATGTCATTTACCCGTTAATAAACTTTAAATTCGTGTGTTTTTAATCATGTGTCGTTCGATGAACACACGGATGTTAACAGTTTGCAAGTCTTAGAGTCGGGACGGGTCGGGTTGGGCCGAGTCGATTTGAGCTCCTCCTCTCGTTGCAAGAAAAGACTTTGGTGCTATCCTCGTAAGAAAAAGTAGCGAAACAAATATGCAATGATTCTTCGCCCCTCTCATCCTTCTCCTTTCTCTTCGTTATCGACTACTTCATTGTAATCCGTCTGTTTTTAAGAAAATAATTTCCTTTTATTCCGACGCAATAACACAATTCAAAGTTTTTACCCACATGAGTCAGTAGACAAATGCTCCAATTGTTTATATGCATGTCGAAGATAGTACGACATTTGCGGCTATATAAGTTTTTTTATACTATGCTTTTGAATTTAATATTTATATTCTATGGTCGTTTCATCCTTTGGTAAGTCGCGACTCGGTAGCCTTCTCTAGGGCACGAACCATCTAACTCATTCATCTCTCTCTCTCTCTTCCCGCCCAAACAGCCTCACACACTTCCACAGGCACCGTCTTTGTTATCACCGCCGATTACCGTCGATCGGAGCTCGACTGTTCCTTCCCCTCCCCCTCTCTCGCGGCCGGAAACTCCAGCTCCGGCCATGGCCACGACGATCGAGCTCAAGGACGAGGCCGAAGGGGAGCACGTGGAGACCTCCGATTTCTTCTTCGCCCGGATCGGCGAGCCGCTGCCGTTCGAGATCCCGGGGGGCAGCGGCAGAGATGCTAGGCCGTACGGCCCTGGCCGCCTCCCGTCCCAGCCGCTCGCCGTCTCCGAGCAGTTCCAGCTCGTCTTCGTGGCCCACTCCTCTGGTGAGTTTGTAGACTTCGATACGTTCGTCCGATTGGTAGACTGTGGCGGTGCGATTTGGTGCTAATCGTGCTCCGGTTTGTAGGGTTTTGCGTTGCGAGGACCAGGGATGTGATGGAGTCGGCGATGAGCAGTGATTCTTCCGTGCTGGAAGTGTGCGTCATGTACGTGGCCGTGGGGGCACTTGGCTTGCTCTCGCTTTCTCCTGATTCTTTGACGCTTGCGGCTTCTAGTGGGGGGACTGTTTACTTCTTCTTGCTTCTTTCACTTGTCAATAAGGTTTGTTCAGACTCAGAGTCCCTTTTGTTAGATCACGCTATATGTTTATATGAGAAAATGGCTGAAACTTTGGGGCCGGAATTCCTTTTCCAATTACACTCCCTACATGTGGAGATCCTTGAAAAAAAGTCGACTTTTTCTCATCATGTCGTGATTCTTTTCTGAGCATGCTCATTGAGAATTCTTGTTAGATGCTGACCGATGCCTATGTTGTTACATTCTGTTCGGATTAGGAATAGGTATAGCTGGCCCTGCGTTTTGGACATTTTCCTGTATATGCTCTTTTGGCTTTTGGGAATTGAGATATCTCTAGTTACGTTCGCTTTCGTTTTAGATCTGCAAATGATTATAGGGTTCGAGTTATCCATAATAAAGACAGAATCATGAGCCATAATGAAGTTGGTGGACGGTATCCTCCCTTCGTAATGAGCTACAGTCCTATAGACGTGGATGCTTAGTTGAGTTGTATTATCCTGGTCTAGCTGGAGCCCCGTTTTGTGGGACAAAGACTAATGTTTCGTTAATAAATCTGATTTATTAGGTTGTACTTTCATTGACAATTGTCAGCTTTGTGCATCTGATGCACTGCACATGTACAAAAATCCAAACCATATTTTGAAATAGGCGGTGATTGCTTGCAATTTGCATTTTTATCCCCTTATTTATCTTTATTCTCCATAGGTTTTGCGTGCAAATTATTTGCTAGGTCGACTTAAAACCGAGAAATTGAAACACTTTGACATGGGGTTGGAATGAGAAAGCTTACTTTTATCCGTTAACATCATGTGCAGTCCTTAAAATTCTGCATTTCAAATTATGTTTGATGAAAATATGTTGTCTTTGACCCTTGTTCTTCTTTCATAAAGGAGTAATACATATACGCTTTTTGACGAGGGTTTGCTTCTAATTGAGCTCTTCAATCGTGCAGCAGCAAGAACCTTTTTTTTCCTGCTCATTAGATGAAGGAAGTTCTGTAAAGGACATGAAGTGGCTAAAGAAGAGACAAAATTCATACATTCTTATGACAAGTCGCGGGAACCTGTATCTTGGGAGCATTGATGGACGTTTAGAGTGTTTAATGGATAATGTTGATGCCGGTATGCTTTAAAAATCAAGAACTTCTTCACTTAGGCTCTGCTTATTATGAGTGGTAGTTTAAAGCAAGTTTGTTCTCTAGAGAATTTCGTTGCTTGTCACCCTTGATTTCCACGCTGCTTCTTTGTTGCGGTATCAATTCATGCTCGAGAACATGGACTCTGTTTCATTATGTTCTTTTCTCCCCTTGAGTTTGAGAGACTAACATATATACTGCTGATTATTTGTATTTAGGAGGATAGACTGAACTATACATAATATAAAAGCTGGTGCATCCATAGAGCATTGATGAAAGTTTGAAAGTTCCAACGAATATAGCTTTTCTTATGTGGCTGATAGAGTTGACGTGAAGATTACACTTGTCTTGCTCTATTAAATTAGCATGCTGTCTTCATTTGTATTGTGTGCTTATGGGAGATTGTTTAATCGGGATGGCTATCTGATCCAAGAAAGTTGGGTGCTGAAAGTTCCATGAGTGGATCAAACGCAGTGGATCGTTTTTCATATATAATGTCTTCAAGTACATACGAAATGTACATGGAAAGAAAGAAGGAAGAACAAAAAAAACACATCAAAAGACTATAGAGTTTTAGAAACATGTCCAAAGCCGAATAGAGGAGCACCACACAGAAGTAGCCGAAGATTCAAGTACATCAGAAATGTCCATGGAAAAGAAAAAAAAAACGAAAATAATCAAGGTTGCAGTAAACACTACAATGACCTCTGGGGGAATCTTGCTGTGGCTTTCACAAAATATTCTTGTAGAGTACCTTAACCATCATTTTTTGTCTAGTTTGGTGAAGCTCTTTCCGTTTAGTGTCTGCGATGCTGCTTTCTGTTGTATTACTTATTGTTGTTTGTTTTCATTGTGATTTGGTTTGATTTCTAGGGTTTTTGTTTAATATCAATTCATGCTCAAGAAAGTGGACTCTATTTCACTGTGTCCTTTCTCCCATTGGGTTTGAGAGACCAACTTAGCTATTGCTGATTATACGATTTTGAAGGATAAATTAATTGTACTTGCTACCAATGCTGTTGCATCTGTTGAGCCTTGACTTGAAAGTACCATTGAATTGCTTTTCTTACTTATAGAGTTGACGTGAAGCTCGCGTTCAGTCTTTCTTTTAAATTAGCATGCTGTCTTCATTTATATTCTCTGTTTATGGAGAGCATTCACCTGCGATGGCTACCTGATCCAACAAATTCTGCCGCTAAAAGTTCCATAATTGGATCAAACATAGTGTGTTGTTGATCAGTGTATTTGCATACACTGTGAGGAGCTCTTGAATCTCGCTCTGTGTCTCACAAAGTATCCCTGTAAAGTACCTTAACCATTAATTATTGTCTAGTTTGGTAGTGTTCTTTCTAATTACTTTCTGCAATGCTACTTTATGCCGTATTACTTATTTGTTGCGCGATAATGCTGCTTGATTTGTGGTTCTCGTTTTATTTTAGTTTCAATTCATGCTCAAGAACATGGACTCTATTTCAATGTTTCATTTTCTCTCTTTGAATTTGAGAGACCAACTTATCTAGTGCTGATTATTAGGATTTCAGAGGATGAACTAAACTATACATACTATGAATTGACGTGAAGCTTGCGCTTAGCTTTCTCTTAGCATGCTGTCTTCATTACATTGCGGGGTTCTGGTAGATCATTCAAATCTCGATGGTCATCTGATCCAAGAAATTCTCTTGCTGAAAGTTCCATAATCGGATCAAACATACAAACTTTCATCATTCTATTACCCATTCGTATTACAATGAGCTCTGGAACGAACTCTGTTCTGGCTTTCACAAAGTATGCTTATAGAGTACCTTAAACATCATGTTTTGTCTAGTTTGGTAAAGTTATTTCTGTTTACTTCTTTAATGCTGCTTTATGGTGTATTAATTATTTGTTTGGACGGTAATGCCTTAAAATGAACATAAAAAATTAGCATTGTCGTTCTCGTTATTCTTCATTCTCTGTTTACGCCTTTGTCCTTTCAGTTGACTGCAGTGCAAAAGAAGATTATATTGCTGTGGCAAGGAATGACAGCCTAAGTATTCTTTCATCCAAATTAAATGAGAAGTTCCACATGGCATTGTCACTCCAACCATGGACAGGAGAGTCTGACGAAATTAGTGTGAAAGGTAAATCGACTCTGATGTTCAAATTTAGATGTTTTGTCCGGCAATTTGCTTATAATTTGTTATCTGAAGGCATACCTTCCTATAACCCTGAGTAGAGGTTAGTTGGAAGATGATCATTTATGCTGGATCTTTCACTGAGATTAAATTTTGGATAAATAATATGGTCCTTCAGAAAAAGTTTGCTCAATATTTGCACGTGCAAGGGTTGTTTATTTTCATATATGGATTCTGCTCAGATTTGAATTCTTTCTAAGGAATAACTTTGGTCTTTAAGGTTTTTAATGCGGGTGAATTTGTGAACAGTGGATTCTCTCAAGTGGGTTCGTCCCGATTGCATCGTTCTAGGGTGCTTTCAACTTACCTCAAACGGCATGGAGGAAGGTTATCTTTTGCAAGTAATCAGGACTAGAGACGGCAACTTTTTTAATGTGGGTGAAACAATCCTTGACACAATTTTCACTATCAATTGTTTAATCTTCAAAAATATTGGGCAAATATTGTCACTATCATTGTTATCATCATCATCATCATCATTAAGCAGCTAGAGAGGTTCATGAGCAATCTCCTTTAGTAACTAGAAAAGTTAATTAGTATACTCTTGTGTACTCAAAGAACAATTAACAAGTGACTTTTCTGAACTTGATTTCAGTATGATTTTATGGTAATTGGCTTGGAATTGAAGTAGTTTTAGTCTCTACTTACTAGATCTGGTCGCACTGATCTGCCATGGTCCCTTAATTACCACAGTCTTGTATTGTAAATTCTTGCTGTGATGGTTTCCAAATTCCTCTTCTAATTAAATTGTTTCGTGTGGAATCCTATGACATAGTTAGTTTTTCTCTTGTGCCCGTCTTAACATTTATGTTCTAATCAAAATTGTACTGTCTGAAAATGTCATTGGTGACGAAAGAGAACTTTCTGGTGCACCTGCTGTCGTGGCTATACAAAGTTTCTACAAATATCTAAACGAGTCCATGGCTGCTAGATGTTGCAACTAGGATGTGAAGGAGAGGGCATATTCCTATGTCTCGATAGTTTTCCATTTTCATATGATGACATGCAAATGGTGGCTTGCCATTTGTTATATGTATAGCAACATATTTGAATTTCGGGATGCTGTTCCCGTTGAATGACATCCTTAGGACTATGTTCAAGAATTTAAATTTACAATATGATGATTTAATTAGTCATTTTGGTAATATCATTTCTGTAGGCTTCTTCTGAGGCGATACTGCAGTCCTTTTGTGATGTTTTCCCTGGAATTGTGGATGACATTATTCCCGCAGGACGTGGGCCGCATCTGTTCTTTAACTATTTGGAACAACGGTAATGTCCTAATTTTTACTTTCTCTCCATATTTTATTTCTCTTATTTGTCATTGAGACTATTGCTTGCACCCCTTATCATATCTCGTTTGAGAGTCATATTTTTAGAATATTTCAATTTGTTTTTCTTTTGACTCGTGGCCATTTAATACATGATTTTTTATCACTTGCGTCAGGTGCAAAGGCCTGATTTTGGTCTAATTATCTTATGTTGATACTTGTGAAAATTTGGTCTTCCATCATGGAAATAACCCAATTGGCAAATTAACAAGAGTTGCTTGCCTGTTCGCAAATTTGAACTTCTTGCTTTGGTTCTAATAGCACATTGATCTCATGAGAAAGTTAAACCGACAAATTTCCTCTTTTTTCCAACTTATATAGATATTTGACTTTTGAAAATACCGTCAGAGATTAGCTACTGCATTTTTTCCTGCTGCAGTATCCACGGAAACGATATTGCATAGCAGATAAAGGCTAACCTCTTTTCTTCGTCTCATTTCAGCAAGCTTGCAATTGCAGCTAACCGAAAAAATGTGGACCAGCACATTATCCTGTTCAGTTGGTCACTTGGTGAGAATATGAATGAAGCAGTAGTTGTTGATATTGATCGAGATAACTGGCGTCCAAGAATTGAGCTTCAAGGTACATGAGGTTGTAGCTGAACTTATATATAGACTTGCAAAATTTTTTAATCATTTTCATGTAATACATTGTTTGTTAGTTAATCTATGTTTACATTCATATTTCGGGAAGATTAGATACGTATTCTGTCCATTCCTCCTCATCAGGGTTCTGAAAGTACTAATGTTTTCACAAGGACAAGATAACTACATATTCTTGCACTTTTGCAATGTCCACTGTTTCAAGTATGTGGTTTATATTCTTGTTGATCAGACTCGGAGTGAATGGCGTTAGCGGAGGATTCCTAGGAGATGATTGGATCTATCGTTTTCCTAGGTATCTCTATGGTAGAGCTGTTGGTGCAGCATAGTGTATTGTAAGTCTAGCGTAAACAAAAAGATGGGCAGTGGTACATTCATCATGCAGATGACAGTCTCCTGTTGCTTTTTGGTTTCTCTTCATGCATATTAATTTTCTTATTTGCTGTAAGTACCAATCTGTACTGAGGAGATTTAAAAACTCCATTATGGTCAGAAAATGGTGACGACAATTCAATCCTGGGGCTTTGCATTGACAAAGTGTCCATGGATGAGACGGTCAGAATTCAACTTGGAGTTGATGACCAAAGGGACCTTTCGCCATTTTGCGTCCTTTTTTGTCTTTCTCTTGAAGGAAACCTCATTATGTTCAATGTTGCCTGGTATTCTCCTTTGCCCTCTCCTAGTTGCTTTGTTGATTGTGTTTTACCTTATTAAATCTGTTGTCAGCATGGTAGGCCTCTTCAGCTCACTTCTGCTACAGTGCCTGAGGCGTTATTTCTTTGTAGTGTTGCAGAACAAACTGATTTTCCTGACGCTGGCTGGCCGGCTGACGGGGAAGAGAGTATTTCTGGAGTTGAAGCCCAAGAAGAAGTAAGTTCCACTGTTTATTGAACTTGTTCAATGTGATCTCTTAACATTTGGTATATGTTCAATGTAGTTCCTGAACTATATGAAAACTTTGAATATAGTCCATAAACTTGAATTAATGAAATGATTACATTGAATATTCTCATACAATTCATGGACTGAATTGAACATATACCAAAAGTTCAAGGATGACATTGAACAAATTAAAAGTTCAGAAACCACATTACATATTGGGTTAAAATTCATGGACCACATCGAATATATTAAAAGTTCAAAGGACCACATTGCACATTGAACCAAAGTTCGATGACTAGTTGTGTCATTTACCCGTTAATAAACTTTAAAGTCGTGTGTTTTTAATCATGTGTCGTTCGACGAACACACGGATGTTAACGGTTTGCAACTCTTAGAGTCGGGTCGGGTCGGGCCGAGTCGATTTGGGCTCCTCCTCTCGTTGCAAGAAAGGACTTTGGTGCTTTCCTCGTAAGAAAAAGTAGCGAAACAAATATGCAATGATTCTTCGCCCCTCTCATCCTTCTCCTCTCTCTTCGTTATCGACTACTTCATCGTAATCCATCTGTATTTAAGAAAATAATTTCCTTTTATTCCGACGCAATAACACAATTCAAAGTTTTTACCCACATCAATCAGTAGACAAATGCTCCAATTGTTTATATGCATGTCGAAAATAGTACGACATTTGCGGCTATATAAGTTTTTTTATACTATGCTTTTGAATTTTATATTTATATTCTATGGTCGTTTAATGCTTTGGTAAGTCGCGACTCGGTAGCCTTCTCTAGGGCACGAACCATCTAACTCGTTCATCTCTCTCTCTCTTCCCGCCCAAAAAGCCTCACGCACTTCCACCGGCACCGTCTTCGTCATCACCACTGATTACCGCCAATCGGAGCTCGGCCGTTGCTTCCCCTGCCACTCTCTCTCGCTGCCAGAAACCCCAGCTCCCGGCATGGCCGTGATGATCGAGCTGAAGGACGAGGCCGAAGGGGAGCACGTGGAGACCTCCGATTTCTTCTTCGACTGGTGAGGGACTCTCTCTCTCTCTCGCTCTCTCTCTCTCTTTCTCCTTGCATTGGGTTGGGTATACTGTCTCCTTAACATAATACGTTGTATTGTGCAGGAGCTGGTTTTGGGGCGTTCGGCAGCCAACAAGGTGCAGGTGCCTTCTCTGCTTTTGGTGGTGGTGGAAATGCAAAACCACCTGAGCTTTTCGCACAGATGAGAAAATAGTTTCAGCAGAGCTCACGGGAACTTCAGAATGATACACTTACATAGGTTAGCAAAGTCAACTAATTATCTAGTGGCAGTACCTTCTCTTTTAATCCTGGCGCCACCGGACTAGTTCTCATGTACCATAATATGACAGCATGATGGTCTGCATATCTTTTGGCTGTGGCTTGCACTTGTTGTGAGTGCGCTTTCGCTTGCACTTGTTGTGAGTGCATTTTCACTTGCGATTTTTCCTGTATAGCGGAAACATAGTTTTATAGGGATTGTTCTGGCAGGTATATTTATCGGTTAAAGACTGCAAACTTAATGTTACCCAAGGCAACGAAGTTTCTCTTCTTTTACAACCCTCCATGTCATGGGTTCTCAACTATATATATGATGCCCTGTTTTTCCTTTTTCTTTTTCAAAAATTGCTATGAGAATTTCATCGAATAATCAAGGAGATCGAGTAACGACTTGCTAATAGTTGCTCTACATAAGACGAGATTGTATATTGCTGCAAGAACAGGAAAATTTATATGGATGGCTAATTACAGGGAGTTCATGACTGATTTCATACAAGGACGACCAACAAACTGTTGATACTATGTTAGAAGATTTCAAGCATCCAACATGTGTCGTGCTATGATCTGGTTGTTCAACCTAGTAACTGATCAAATCCTACTTGGGTTTGGATCCAAATTAGGTTTGAAACCCAAATTAGGTTTCAAGGCTTTGGGATATGGTAGATTGCTGATGAATCCATATTACCCTTAGTCGAACTTTTTGACAAATCAGCTTATTTGCTAAGCAATGAATTGAATTGACTCGTAACTGAATCGGACCTTTCTTATTTTCCACGATAAAATTAAGTATTTAACGAAAAAGGCATGCCCTTTTTAGAATTCAGTGCATAAATTAAGTATATTGTGAACACTCATCCAACATTCAACAATGATCTGGGAATAGATCTTCTTTGCTTTATGATATAAATCAGGTAATCAATGTCACGACACGAATGTTAGAATATCTCAAGTTTTAAATTACGCCATTATGTAAAAGTTTAAGTTTTAAAATAGTTGGTAATGGTTATACGAAATTTTACATGGTATTGGACATGCTTCATTTATTATTATTTCCATGCTTAGTCTTAAGCCAAAAGTCCAATTTATGCATCGAGAGAAAGCGTTAGAACATCTAAATACTAAAATGACGCATTCCTCTAACAACTTAAATTTACAAAATAATTGGCGGTGTTTTTATAAAATTTTTGTTAGATAACAGTTGAGCATAATGTACGCACTAGATAGCTGCCGAAACCTGACCAAATCGGAACGGAAGCTACTGAAGATGTAATGCGACGAAGCCGGCAAAAACCAATCATCCTACCCAGCTGAATAGAAAGCCGACTCCTGGGGCTTCAACTCGCCGCGCTTCCGTCCTTTCACCTTGAGTCCCTTCTCCGTCCGGCCCTGCTCGAGATCTTTTGCCGTCCTCTGAGCGATCACGAAGCACAATTCTCAGGTTCGGACGTCGCTGAACGCCCATATCGTCAGGACATCGGAGACCCCCAGTTGATTTTCTCTAACGAAAACCTTCGAATCGCTCGTGAGAACATACACCTTGCTGCACCAAAGCTTGAACAGCATAGGATATGTCTTCCCCTTCGTATTGAACGTCTTCACCTCTATGCCTGTGCCAGGATCATCGCCGGTCCTGAGCAAAGGGAGCACAAGCTCCCGGACGTGCTCCTTCGCCAGCATGAGCCGGTTCTGCTGGCCCGCGATGTCGCTCACCGTCACCCGCTTCTCGAATGACCCCCGGCATTGCCCAATAGAGTTAATCAGTGCGTTCACACGGGGGACAAGCTGAGGGTCCGGATCGCACGGCTCGTGGGCCGGGGGCGGCGCGCGTGAACTGCTCGCCCGAACGTCCTCCGACCGCGCATCTTCGTTGCCCTTAGGTACATGATCGCCGGTGTGCTTCAATATGGAAAGGAACAGTGATGCCTAAAGCACTTACTACAAAAAAAGTTGGTTTTAGCGACGAATTTTGCCACGAAAAATTTGGCAAAATTCGTTGCTAAACGAATTTGAGACAAAATTAGCGACGGAAAAAAATTCGTCGCTAATAGGCCGTCGCAAAATTTTGCGATGGAAAATTTCAATTTTCGTCGCTAATTTGCAGCGAAAAAAAATTCGTCGCTAATTATTCGTGACAAAATTCGTGGCTAATTTGCCACGAAACAAAATTCGTCGCTAATTATTCGTGGCAAAATTCGTGACTAATTTGTCACGAACAGTTCGTGGCAAAATTCGTCGCTAATTTGCCACGATCTTTATTCGTGGCAAAATTCGTCGCTAAATATTCATGGCAAAATTCGTCGCTAATTTGCCATGAACTATATTCGTGGCAAAATTCGTCGCTATTTTTTTCAAAATTTTTTTTTGTTGGTCGCGAAATTGCGACAAAATATTTTCGTGGCAAAAATCATTGCTAATTATTCGTGGCAAAATTTATCGCTAATTTGCGACGAACACATTTCGTGGCAAAATTCTTGGCTAATTTGCCACCAAATTTTTTTTTGTCTGTTTTTTGCGACGAACTTATTCGTGGCAAAATTCGAGGGTAATTTAAATTACCCACCAAAATGAATGTATTTCATTTTCTTATTCGATTTTAAATGTAATTTAAAGCAAAATTAATTTCTAGAATTTGTATTAACATTGATTAAGCACTTAATAACATCAAACTATTATAATAATATGAAAATGAAATACATTCATCTACATTTTCCATGTACTTGAACATATAGCTCAATGTACTTGAACATCCTTGGCAAATCTCCCCCTCCGCATATCAACACATAGCTCAATGTACTTGAACATAATCCTCTCAAAGGTATTTTGCCATGCTCGGGATCTCTTCGAGGTAATAAGATCGTGAAGTTCTTGCAGAGCATCTTGCTTCTTCTAGGATCCATGCAGAGCATTTTCTGGAATCCAGCAATTGCATCAGTGATAAGAATGCTGGATTGGCAATTTAATATCACTTCATACATTTCATTACATTGGTTCAGGGCACCAAAGGAGACATGATCTCGACCCTCATCTACAATTTATAGTAGAGGATGGTCCATTACCAGTTTTTATAGGTTCACTGATAGCAAAACATACAATAAGGTCAACAGTGTAAAGATCACTCGCCTATCAATGAATGCAATCAGACATCCATGAAGATATTTTTAACCCATCTTTGCAAACGCAGGTTGTAGTCCACTGTGAATAAGTCTAATGCATTAGCCATTTAATGGGGAAAAGTGCACAAACAGGACTCGACGTTTTGGTCATTGCAGAATTAAGATTTATTCTGCCATCCAGAAGATAGCACACCCAAACAAAAAGAACCAAGATAAGTTACTGCAATATTGTTCTGTAAATTAAAGCTCAAATAAGCTTATGACACCATTGTGAAAATTACACAAAGCATAAACCTCCACCAGGGTAAGAGAGCTCACTCACTTTTATCGTGCGGATGTCCTTAGAAAATTCTGGACATGAATCCATGTGCTTTTTCAATTCCAAGTCCAAGTACTCAAAAACTAGATATAGACGCCTCTCACTGTGCACTACATCCTGCAACCTGCCACTCATAAGCGTATGAGCTATATTATGATTGAACCATAACAAAGACAAACAGAACTTGCATATTATTTATAGTGAACTAAAAAAAAATTTCATATATAAGCATTGATCAGTCTCCTTCTCTACAAAATCCAGAACTACAGAAAAGCGACCTAGTGGATCAATTTATTAGTATGGACAACATCATGCATTAACAGAAACTACTTGAAGCATCCAAATAGCGTGATTTTTCCATGTCAGACATATTAGACAGGATAATCCAAGCATCCAAATAGCGTGGTCATAATCGCTTGAATAGTTTATCACGTAATATCTATTTGCTTGCCACCATTCACAAGTGCTGGGTACTATTGCATTATCATGTGTGATCAGCAAGCATGACCAACAACATGGAAATTTAGCAAGCATTTACTAAATAAGATGCAGAGACTCTCCCAATGTAATTCATCAATACGTTACATATTGCAAATAAAAAACTTAAGTAAATGATGACTTCCCTCTTCCAGTTAGCAGAAACTCATACACCATAAATTGCAAGACCTTCTAGGCAAGAATATGTACCAGCTCAATTAGATTTCACAAACATGGACAGGCTTGAAATTATAACTTCAAAAATAAAAATAAAAAACTAAGCGTTTATCCTAAGGGTTGGGTGTAACATCTTGCTCCTGATTCCGACACCTAATGTTGTACTTACAGAACAAAGTAAACCATCTTGAAGGATAACTTCCCACGTCTAGCTATACATCTTCAGGATTTTGCAGGAGCACACCCCTTACTTTTGACCTGATAGAAAATTGACGTTACTAGCCATACTGAAGTAGCTCAATCAGTAAAATCAATAAGAATAAACAGCTGAGTATTACCTCCTATGAGCAGGGACAACGCAATTAGTCACTCCTTTTGAGTTTGCATCTTGTGCTACTACTTTCTCTGAAGTTTGATGAGTAAAAAAAATGTAAGGTGGTTAGACTGAACAATAGATCATGAAAAGGCACTGAAAATGTAAAACGAAGCTGTATTTGTCGTTAAAAATGCCCAAACTCTAGTCCACCCAAACTCAGTCAACGTGAATCAGTTACATGTGTCCTTATACATCATCTCGTAAATGAGTCATAATATCCTCCCTTACTTCCTGATAAACTCATTTTTCCAATGTCACTGCCCAAATGAAATAGCTTCTAGTGGTGCAATCACTGCTTTTTACGAGAATAATATCAAAAGCTCATCCTTCACTTGAAACCACAAGTTAATAGAGACAATTACAAGATCACAGAAAAACCATAATCAATAGCAGCAGTTTGTGCATTGTTATATTCTAAGAATGCAAGATAACAGAGAAGAGAGCCATTACCTGTAGAAGGGTCTGAAGCATCTGACATGGCCAAAGCGCTTGTTATGGGCAACTTCTGCTTCTTCGAAAATGACTCAAGCTTGTTCTGGATGCTTTCACTCTTCTCCCGACAATAGGAACATACCACAGGATTCAGATCAAGAACATGCATAAAAACACTGAGTGATACTTAAATGATTGGAACAGGGACATTACTTATAAAAGAGAAATTTGCATCGTCAGTGAGAGAAAAAGTACACAACTATTGAATATCAACAATACATAGAACTATATCCTACCTTTTCAGCAGTTACAGGCTTTGTCAACTGGCGATTGCGTTCTTGTTCTGAAGTGACAAGCAAGAGAATGAGCATCTATCCAACGAAAGCTTCACAAAAATTAACACATGAAGCACTACCTTCTGCAAGTGAAGTCTGAGTGTTCTTGAGCATCTATCCAACGATTGCTTTGTCCTCTCCATTTTCTTCCTTTTCCCCAGAAAAAAAAAAGGAACACCCAAGAAAGAACTCACGCCGATTCGAGCCTCGCCCCGCTATTCGCAACAGCATAAAAAAAGGTCCAAAATTGCACGTCTATTCTCAAATTGGAGAACTGGGTCAATCATCAAACACTTGCAAAGCACCCTATCCTGACCCATTTACCCTATAAACTCACAAACATCATCTCCATTTCTCGATCAAGACTATACCCAATTCTAACGAAACAAGAGCAACGACAACCATTACAATAATCCGACGATGTATCTATCAGTTGACACACGAACATACTCGAGAACTTCAATAAGAAGGTCACAAAATCAGAGTAGACGGAACGTACAAATCTCGGAATGGGACCGACGGAACGTATAAATCTCGGAATGGGAACGTACAAATCTCGGAATGGCTGGAAACTATTGAGGCCCTCCTCCCACAGGTAGCCGTCCCTCTCGACGGTGGTGATGTTGCCGCCGACGCGGTCCCTGGCCTCGGTGACGACCACGTCGGGGGCCCTGTCGCGGTGCTTCGTGGCGAGCGCCTGGGCGATGCAGAGCCCGCTGATCCCGCTCCCGACCACCACGCAATCAACCAGTCCCCCGCCGGCGGCCCTCGGCTGGGAGATCGCGGGGCCCTCGGCGACGGAGCACCGGATCCCGGCGGGCGCGCGGGAGGGCTTGTGGGAGCGGAACGGGCGGATGGCGACGGAGGAGGAGGCGACGGCGGCGGTGGCGGTGAGGGTGGCCATCATGGCTGGTGGAGGGGAGGAGGGAGCGACGGAGAGGTGTTTGGCGGAAGGGGGGGATCTGAGGAATAACAGAGAGAGAGGGAGAAAAATTGGGGTGAGGGCGGGGGGCAAAATTAGGGAATTTTGCCACGGACATATGAGTTCGTCGCTAAACAAAGCCACGGACTTACCAACGAAATTAAAAAAAAATCGGGAAAGTGAAGCAAGAGTTTATTTTCGTGGTTAAATTCGTGGCTAATTAGTCATGAATTTAGCCACGGAAATAAATATAATCGGGATAATAACGCGAGACTTTATTAAATCCGTGGCAAAGCCACAAATTTCATAAAAAATGCCCACACACGTCTAATTCATTTTTTATGATGCCACGGATTTAGCCACGAATTTCATAAATAGGCAAATAGAAATTAAATTCGTGGCTAAATCCGTGGCAAATTTGCTACGGATTTTGCCACGAATTTCATAAAAAATGAATTGCGGGCATTTTTTGCCACCGATTTAGCCACGAATTTAAAAAAAAATGAATTAGGCCTGTGTGGGCATTTTTTTCAAATCCGTGGCAAATTTGCCACGGATTTTGCCACGAATTTCATTTCAAATGAAATTCGTGGCAAAATCCGTGGCAAATTTGCCACGGGTTTAGCTACGAATTTCATTTCTACTAGCCCACACACGCCTAATTCATTTTTTTTTCCCAACAATAACGTTTCAATAACAATAATAGCAATAATAATAATCAACAACAACAACAACAACAACAATAATAATAATAATAACAACAATAACAACAACAATATTAATAATTACGACAACAACAATAATAATAAATATGACAATAACAATAAACTCTTGTCATAATAATAATAATAATAATTACGACATAATTAGTAAAAAGTCTCAAAAATCTAAATCTTCATCTTCACCTTCGTCTTCATCTTGATCTTTATCTTCTTCTTGAGCATCATCATCATCCTCTGTCTCAAAATCAGATTCTGCAACACCTTCTAAATTTGATTTGCGAATTTCAGTTAGATCTACATCTATCATTGCTCCACATGGATCTCGTAGAGTTGGAATGTTATATTCCTCAATTTAAACCGTGTTACAAACTTCCTCTTATTAATATGCTGTATCCTTTCAGTGTTCCTCGATTTTTCTTCGTGCTTTGATTTTACATACAGCCCACCAATCAGCTTTGTCACATTTCAAACTAGGATATGATGCATAATATACTTGAATTGCTTGTAACATAAATGATTCATATTTCATATACCTTTTCTTGTGATTTATTTCAACCAAATTAAACTTCGTATGCACCTTCATTCCTTTGACGGGGTCGAACCACATGCACTTAAGTAACATAACCCGCATTAATGGTCGGGGGTACTCTATCTCCATGATTTCATCCAACAAGCCATAAAAATCATCTTTTGAACTGCCACCATTGGATGACCGAACACACACACCACTATTCATTGTGGCTTTTCCCATTCCATATTCTTGAGTGTGAAAATTATACCCGTTTATGAAATATGATGGCCAAGTTCGTACTCTTGACTTTGGACCCCATGACAGATAATATAGCAATCCTTGCTCTTCAACTTGATCATGATTACTGTGAACCTAAGGTCACACATGCAAATTCAATAATATATATTTAAATGATGTATAAAATATTAATAACTTGGTTTTGGTCCATAGGCAACTTACATATGTTCTAACCAGCTGCATCAATCACCATCCTCTGGTATGAGTTCAATTGGTCATAATAGCTACATTCTTCTCTAACTGAAAATTGGTCACTTATTCGATATCCTTCATCAGATATAAATGATTCACCATGACAAGTCCAATTATAGTAGTTCAGAGTAAACCCAAATCTACAAAGATGTTCTCTAACTTTATCAGACACATGAAATTTATCATTACTGCACTTGTTACACGGACACCGTAACTTATTTTCATCCATCAACTCATATTTACTACTAGCAAAGTCCATAAATAGTTCCAACCTAGTACGAAACTCATCGGTTAATCCTCGACGTCCAGGTAAGTTCTTATTATACATCCAAGCCATGTCTCTTTGCATTGTGTCTATATAAAAATAACAAAATCTCGTAAAATATTAAAACCATAAAATTTTCTTAATTAAAACCATAAAATTCTAAAAATTAAAATTTTGTTTTTGACGAAACAATTACATTGGAATTGAAAAAAATAAAACAATTACCATGTCAAGAAGACTTACCCAAGTATTTGACTGAAATCTTTGTAGTAGAAAGTGCTCAATTTGATGAGAATTAACATTTACTTCATCTACGAGACTTTCAAATGGACACGTACCTAAAAAAAAAATGACTTCAGATTTTTTTTTTAAATAAATTTTTTTTTCGAAATTTTTTTTTCTAGATATTTTTCGCCGGTCCAGCGACCGGCGACTAGCTGAGTACTCGCCGGCCATGGGCGAGGTCCAGCAGCCTCGCCATGGCCGCCGTTGGACCTCGCCGCCCAGATCTGGGCACCGTTGGACCTCGCCGCGAGGTCCAACGGCGCCCATGGCGAGGCCGCCGCTCGACCTCGCCGCCCAGATCTAGGCGCCGTTGGACCTTGCCGTGACGGCGAGGTCCAGCGGCGGTGGCCTCGCCCATGGCCGGCGAGGTCTCGCCAGTCGCCGGACCAGCGACCGGCGACGAAGTTAGGAAAAAAAAGAGAAAAAAAAGTCAATAAAATAAAAAAAAATTCGAATCTAGCAATGAATATTTTTGCAACGAACTAGCTTCGTCGCAAATTAGCCACGAAATTAGCCACGCCACTTACCGGCAAAAAAGCTTTACCGAGACTGATTTGCGCGCGCGCAGAGAGGTTTATCGAGAGAAATGAAAGGGGAGAGGGAGGGAGAACAACGAAGAGGGATATAAGGAATTAGCAGGGAGAGAGAGAAATTGGGGGTAGGGGTATATTACAAGTAGCAAGGGGGACAATTAGTGACGAATTTATTTTCCGTTGCAAATTAACGACGAATTTATTTTTCGTTGCAAATTACGTCGCAAAATTAGCGACGAAAAAAAATGAGTCGCTAACTCCGTCGCAAATTAGCAACGAATACTTTTTCGTCGCAAACTCCGTTGCAAATTAGCAACGGATTTTTTTCGTGGCAAATTCCGTCGCAAATTAGCAACGAATTTTTTTTCGTGGCAAATTCCTTCGCAAATTAGCAACGACATTTTTTTCTGTCGCAAATTAGCAACAGAAAAAAAAATTCGTCGCTAATTCCGTCGCAAATTAGGGACGAATTTTTTTTCGTGGCAAATTAGCCATGGATTTTTTTCCGTCGCAAAATTCATCGCAAATTCCGTCGCAAATTAGCGACGAAAAATTATTCGTCGCTAATTTCCGTGGCTAAATCCTTGTTTTTTTGTAGTGACTTCTTTGCTTTGGTTTTGACTTCTCTCCATGTCAAGTCAACTATTTCTCTATTCGCAGCTTCCGAAGCGATGTATGTAACATATTTATACTTAGATTTTGCCCAATTGATCTTGCCCTTTTTCTAAATTGAATTGGACTCTGTTGAAATATTTCCTAAATTAATATTCGGATTGGAGTATTTTTACTTCATGCTGTTTGATGTTATCCTTTGCGTAATCAAGATGTACTCCAGTTCGTCAGATCGAGTGAGTCTGGACATTATCAGATTTTCTTCGCAAGTGTCCTATTAAGCAAAGGGTTATCGGTTTCTAGAAATCAAGCTCAACCGGCCGGAAAGGGGATTTTTCCTTTTTCTTTTTAAATTACTTGAATTGATTTATATGTCGATTTTGAAGCGAATGCTCGATTTTTCGACAAGGAAATCAATGGCTGTAATTTAGGGACACAATTTAGATTTATCTAATCAAAGAAAGGATGAATGTTACCTTTGGACTGCCGATTTGGCAATATAAAAAAACAATAATACATTAAAAAGATTGTTCTGATTGATAAATGAGGAGTGGCCCTATCAAGCATAAACTAATTAGACTAAAAAAATCACAAACATAATACATGTTTTTGTCAATTGACGGGGTACGCTGAATAATAGTAGAGACAGGATAGAATATTTAAATTTAAAATCACGCGTTCTTTTAATAATTTTAGCATTTTGAACAATTGACAGTGGTCATGCAAAATCTTTCATTATACGGGTCTAGAGCTCAAACCTTTGCCTAGCCAAAATAACCAAAGTCCATATTACGCGTGACCATTTTGCAATTCAAGTCTAACGCAAGAAAAGAAATCACCAAAAGAAGAGATTTCCGCTAAGAAATCCATTATGAATTTGGAGAGCTCGGAGTCGCAATCGCTAAATCGCTCAAGTATTTCCCAGCCTAAATTATGCGCGAAACAAAACCATACAAGTGTTGTAGAAAAGCTACTCGAACTAGAAAATCATTCAAAAGAGGAAACTTACTCAAATTAGGGAATTCACTTGGATCGTGGTTTCTTCACAAATTTAAGTTCGAGACATATCCGCTGGTCACCCTTCCTCATGCAGATATAACCTGGACAAAGTGTGGATTGTATGGACAACGATGTCCACTGGCCTGTCCTCATATCCATGGAAACTCATCTATAATGTCATCAATGGATTCATAATTTTGCCTTTCTTAATTTTCATTCTGTGTGAAATAACTGAATTACGACGAAGACGCGTTAATTCGTGTCGGTTCGTGACAACGTATGAAGTAAAATGTGACATGTTGTGTTCGGATTTTCTCTCCATAGTTCGTGTTTTACATCTCTCGTTCAAGTCATGCAAGCGGATCGTGTCGAGCATTGCCAGCAGTATCAAACCCAATCTTGGATCAACTATGTCTGTGATAGACTGATCCTGAGGTGAGGAACATGTTAACACAAATCGAATATTCAGCAATTATGCTGGAGTAAAAATCAGTTGATAGCGGTATCACAAGATCCTAAATTTAAATTTTTTGTTTAACAGATAAAAGTGTAAGAACAGTTGATAATGGTCCTAAGAAATATTCACAATGAAGACAATAAATTTACAGTTAGATATCCACAAAAAATACTGTAATCGCCAAAATA